CCAACCCAGCTACTGGCTGGGCATGGCGCTTTGCTGGCTCCTGCCTGCTCATTGGGGTGGGGGGCCCTGCCTGCACACACAGGCTTGCTGGGCAGAGGGGCGAGCAAGGCAGGCTGGATTAACTGCTTGTTCTGTAGCCAGGTCTCTGTGCTGGACCCATCCCTGGGAGCAGCAATGAAGACGGAGCCAGGACTGGGTGAGCAAAATGTTTCCTCTGGGCTTGGGGGAGAGGAGCAAGGGTGCCAGGGGATGCTGCTTGCGCAGCCACGGGGGCTGGGAAGGGGCTGAAAAAAAAAGCACCGTCCTGGAGACTTGTGTGTGCATGCAGCCCCCAGGACCCCTACCACCACCCCTGGCCCTACCAGCCGCCCACCCTGGGCAGTGGACCCCTCATTCGCTGAGCGCTACGCCCCGGACAAGACGAGCACGGTGGTGAGCAAGCACAGTCAGCCGGCCACGCCGACCCCCATGCAGAACCGCAGCTCCATCGTGCAGGCGGCGCAGCAGGCCCCCGAAGGGCCTGGGCGCACGCCCCTCTGCTACAAGTGCAACAAGGTCATCAGGTGAGCCCTGGCCACCGCTGCTGCCACACCAGCGTCCTGGGCCCCAGCGTGGCTGACGTGGCTCTGTCCTGCTGCAGGGGACGCTACCTGGTGGCACTGGGGCATTATTACCACCCCGAGGAGTTCATCTGCTGCCAGTGCAGGAAGGTGCTGGATGAGGGTGGTTTCTTCGAGGAGAAAGGCTCCATCTTCTGCCCCAAGTGCTACGACACGCGCTATGCACCCAGCTGCGCCAAGTGCAAGAAAAAGATCACCGGGGTGAGTGTCCCTCAGCTGGCCCCACACCTCCTGTCCCTATTCCCTGCTCACCTAAGGGTCCCTAGCTCTGTCTGTTCCTGTCTTGATCCCATCCATGAGGATCCCTTGTCCCTTTATGCCCTGGGAGGGGAGTCTTCTGTGGCGCAGGGTGGTCCTGACAGCCGTTCCCCTCCAGGAGGTCATGCATGCACTGAAGATGACCTGGCACGTGCAGTGCTTCACCTGTGCTGCCTGCAAAACTCCCATCCGCAACCGTGCCTTCTACATGGAGGAGGGACAGCCCTACTGCGAGAGAGGTAGGACCTAGGGGCTCCATGTGCCACCCTGTGTGGCCCCGGGGCGCGAGGCACTGTTGGGGCTCAGCACCTGCCCATGACAGTGGGGAATGAGCTGCCCTGTGCAGTGGGGCTCTCCCCAGGCCATGGGGAAGGTGGGGACCTCCCTTATGTGGCCCTGAGCCCTCCATCCCAGTCCTCCCTGGCTGTTGGGTAGTGCCATCACTTCTGAGTTGCCATGGTGATGATGGAGGATGTACATCAAAGGCAAGTGCTGCATCCTGGGAGATGAGGTTTGCCTCCATGTGGCCCAGTGGTGGCCGGGGCCATCAGGCATGGCACAGGCATCTCACCTGAATGTCTTGGGCATCGTCCCCCCAGGGCTGGCAGCGAGTTGTCCCCAGGCTGTACCTGTGGTATCCTGGCTGTGCTGCAGCCCAGTTCCCCTGGGACGAGGAGCTGCGGTGCCAGGGAACGCTGACCTGGACTCTGCTTCTCCTCGCAGACTACGAGAAGATGTTTGGCACCAAGTGCCGCGGCTGCGACTTCAAGATCGATGCTGGGGACCGGTTCCTGGAGGCGCTGGGGTTCAGCTGGCACGACACTTGCTTCGTCTGTGCGGTGAGCCACGTGCCTCCCTCTCTGGCTGCTGGTGGGGGCTGTGGCACGCTCTGGTAGTCGTGCCCTGCATGGGGTAACACCAGCAGCGTGGGGTCCCTGCTGCCACAAGGTTTTTTCGCACTTGGCTCTGCACTGGTGGCTTGGACCCCTGCTCTGAGCCTGCTGCTCCCTGGCATCTGTGTGATGCTGGTGCTGAGCCCTGGGTCGTCAGTGGGACGTGGGGGCTGGCTCAGCCCTCCTGACCTGAGTGCCTGCGTTCTCCTCCCCAGATCTGCCAGACCAACCTGGAAGGGAAGACGTTCTACTCCAAGAAGGACAAGCCGCTCTGCAAGAGCCACGCTTTCTCCCATGTGTGAGGGGCGGGAGTTCAGCTGTGCCCACGCATGCCCCTGGCCCTGCATGCTCCTCTCCCCTCCACCCCTGCTACCCCCAGGGAGCCAGGCTGGGCCCTCACCCCTTTCCTTTGCTCCTGCCTATTTCCTGGCAGCTCTTGGCCCGGCTCCAACCTGAGGTGGTGCTGGGCTCAGAGCCCCTTATAGCTGGGCAGCTTCTTCCATGCCCCCCAGCTGGCCCTAGGAGCCCTGGGAAGGGGACACTGCTTGAGTCTCCTGTCCCCAAGCTATGCAGCGTGGTGGCTGTGGCTGTGCCGAGGCTGGTATCAGGGAGGATCTGGCACAGCAGGGCTGCTCCCTCGCTCAGCTGGGGCCCGGCTGCCTGGCAGCTCAGTGCTGGGGCAGGGATGCTCCTTGCACATCCCTGAGCCGGTGAGGACCA